AAACCCAATTTCACCTCACCTAATAAAATTGAAGGGGGTGACAACCATTATTGGCATGAGTATATATCATAAAGTTATCTTCTCGACATCACCATCCATTATGTGTAAGCGTATGTACATGCATGGCGCACGATTTCATTGTATTGTAAGGAGCACAATAATGTCAAACCTGGTTTTTCCAAGTGAACAGCACACAAAGGTTGATTAGCTATCAGATGCTCATAAAATTCCTTCGTAAAAACATAAATAACGGAGCATACACAAGGCCACAGGTTGCTGAAAATAGACGTCTGTGGGGTTGCATCACAAGTCTCTGGAAAATCATTGTTATGGGAATTTTAATACTGGGAAGACATTGTTCGAGATCATGTTTTACTCTTTGAAGGGGCGTACCCTCACCTGCGTAGCAAGTCAATTTTTTCGTGTAAGCTCTATGGGTTGCAAAGCTTTATATTTAGATAGTATTGAGGGCTTGCCCAACCTTTTTAGCAACAATCATGAGTAAGCCCGGGCTTTTTTATGTAATAGTAGCTTTGCCCTTGCCTGCGCGCCCACATGTTGCAAGGGTTGTAACAGTCGTTTTAAGGCAGCATAACATTGTTTCATCCATGGCCGTCTGTCTCTCCAGAACTCTTCCCAAAAGAACATGTCTGGGATGAGGTAGCAGGACAGGAAAGGAAACATCCGGTGGGTCAGCTCAGTTGTCCCAATCTTGTGTTGACTTTTGGAACAACGTCACCAAGGCTGTCGCTGCAGCCTCGCCTGCATCAACGCAAATGGTGGCCCCGCCAGATGCTAACAGTTCTCTGTTATTTCTCTTACAAGGCGTGTTGCTCTGTTGTCCGTTACCAGATACTAAGTTTTGACAACGAATTTGTTGCTGAGCCACCAGTGTTTGCCCTTAACCCTGAAAGCTGCAGGCCCTAAGGACCCAGAACCATAAAAATTGTGGGTCCTGATCAGAATGTGCAGGCCCTATATTTTAATATGGAAATTATACTCTTATTTATTGGGGTGAAAAAGTTGTCGGCCATAAGGACCTGCAAAAAACAAAAGCTGTGGGTCCGAGTGGTTTTCAGTCGGCTTCGGTCCTAAGGACCGGCGTTAATTTCGAACGCCGTGAGCCACAGTGCCTAGCAGACGTGCCGTTCTGAAAGTTCTACTTGTGTTTGACTTGTACAGGTCTGGTTATAGAAGACAGTGACAGTGTTGAATTTCCCTCTTTATTCCGTCAGCCAATGCTGGGACCCTTACAGGAGTCTTCCACAAACTCCCGTACACACAGAAGGTACCTTGATTCATGCTTAATACAACCTCATCACTCGTAATTATCTACATCATGAACACTTAAAAACAAACACAATAATCACAGAACTGGCAAAATAGGATGGCAGTTTATGACACAGCAGTATTTGTGAGAGCGGTGGACGTAACCATTTAATATTCTTGGGTAGGGGGCTTGGGGTTTTCGTTAGAGAGGATGCATGTTTTCGGTTACTGCTTTAATACATGCACAGATGGTCAGTGTCTTATCATGTGCATACTGCCACATGCCGTAAAACATACACTACATGGGCTACAAACGTGCTGATCTACAAGGGACTATGTGTCCGCATCAAAACACGACATTCAGGAACAATTATAGGCCTCACATTGAGACCTTGTTATATTCAGGGCTGTTCTACAGAGCGATCATAGGCAAACACATCATAATTCACGTGCACAATCTACACATTAACAAAATAATATCAACTAAATTTCTTGAAAATGTTAACAAAATATCTGTAAACAAAGTAAAACAGTATGATATTAATACAAGTGTTACAGTACAGCTGTTGTTATAATTCTATGATAAATGATACTGGCAGTCATCTTGAAGGTACTGCAGCTCGTATGCGTGTGTGCGTGTGCGCGCGTGTGAGTGTGTGAATTAAAATTTATAGTCACTTCAGCAATATTTCACCCATATTGGTGTGTGTGTGTGTGTGTGTGTGTGTGTGTGTGTGTGTGTGTGCATGCATGCATGCGCATGTGAACGCCAGCATGTGTTGCTTACAATTGCACTCAACATTATTCCAGCTAAATGATGGTGACCAGCAAATAAATGTCTGGACTAGACAATCCAGTGATTGATACCGTGATCAACACTAAATGGTGCCAGGGTACCTTGGTGTCTATAACATTATAGTTTTACACACCTACAAATTTGGCATTGCAAGACTCCTTTTCTGCATTACAGCATCAACCATACATTAAGTTCTCCTTAAAAAATATAAGATTTTATAAATTTTGGGAAATGAAAAAATCCCATTATTAGCAACATAATTGGGGCATCAAGATAACAAAATGCCTTTTTCACTGATAACTATTTATTGGACCTTTCAGTCAGTTTAAAAAAAAGTATTTTTACGTACAGGCCTCATGAGATATCAAGACTTTGACACTATTTATACTAGAATCTATAAAGGCAAAAGAATTTTATGTTTCAAATTCTTCACAAATAGTACCAAAATATTATTTACATAAAACTCGTGACAAACTGTACTGTATTTATAACTATATATATTATATAATTTATTTTAATAGGATTAGAGAAAATGAAATAGATATCCCACACAGGTATTACCATAATGCTGGCCTAGTTAGACATGACAACACCAACAAAAGCACAGACAATTATGTAATTTATCAGACAATTAGAAGACATGAAACCAGGTTCACTCAGATCCACCCCCCACCAACCTTTGGTTTAACCAAATAATCCCCCTACATGAAACACAGTAACAACAGCCTCTTTCCCCTTTACATACAACTCAATATTTGTCAAGGACATCTCAATACTTCATAAGACTAGTTTGTCTAAGTGAACATAAATCAGCTAGAAGGTATGACATAGTTTGCTGATCAAGCCTTGAGCTTCTGTGTAAGATCTCAGGAAGTCTCCAGGCTCCAGAAAGATATACGAAACCAGGAATCAAACTCAAGTCAGAAACATCTTGCAAGTCTCGAGCAATATCATGGCGGGGGGACACCAGAAATGGGCTTCCCCCATTGTACCCATGTGGGGAATCAAACCCGGGTCTTCAGCGTGACCAGCGAACCACTAGGCTATCCCACCACCCCAATAATCAAAAGCTTGTTTTTATTATTAAGTGTTAATACAGAATGCAAATAACTTTGTTAAATAATAGTTGTGATATTTCCTGATTCTATCTGAAGGACTATAATAGCTGCATTGCAAATATTGATACACAGAAAATGTCCGACTTTGTCTACCGTTTTTTACCTGTATATGTTCACGAACTACATTTTCTATAAATGAATGTTGAATATCTCTGATTTTCAGCTTAATTATCACTTTGTGTTAAATCCTGTCACAGCTTTAAACCTTTTGAAAAGAAATCCACTGAGTGCTGTGCAATACTGCCCAAGTTAAATGAAATGTTTGGAAGGAAGCAACTGAGGTTTTCAAAAAATATTGATCGGAATGAAATCACACACTGTGGAGTTGAAATTGCCCTGTTGTCACAATAAAGAGAAGACTGAACGTTTACATGTTATTTATCATACCAGGGATATTGGAAGAAGTCAAGTGCATCTCTCGAAGCTGTTACATGGACACCACATGACCATTCTTCACACAAACACAACCTAACTGTCTGAACAGCTTTACAGAAAATCATTTATCAAGCAGCTGGAATTTTGTTTTTCAGCATCTCATGATTTTTCAATCTTTTTCAGTTTGTAATCTGTGTTATGGGAGAAAAGTGTAACCACGGGACCATCTTCAATGACAGAGGCATTGTGATGTCACTTCATTGTGACATGGTAACAATGATACAGCAATGGTCTGCAAAACAGAGTATAGCATTATAACTGCAGGATATATATCTTGTGGTCTGCAAAACAGTGTGTTGCAATACCATTGCAGGATATCTCCAGTGGATATAATTTTTATCTAATGAATGGTTTTGCCAGCTCTTTGGGATTTCAGATTTGGGTTTCAAGTCAATTAAACAAGGAATTGGTACATTACCAATACTTTGACACCATGATCACAAGGGAAAGACAATATCTTCACATTTCTTAAAACAATTCTACACCTACCTAACTTTCCACAGTGAAAAGGGGTTAATCCAAACTGTGGTGATACACATTAAAACAGGGGTTAATCCACACAGTGGTGATACACAGCCCAGCAGTGGTTAATCCACACTGTGGTGATACACAGTGCAACAGGGGTTAATCCACACTGTCTTGCTACACAGCACAGCACTGGTTAATCCACACTCTGGTGATACACAGCACAGCAGGGGTTAATCCACACTCCCTTGATACACAGCACTGGTTAATCCACACTGTGGTGATACACAGCAGAGAAGGGGTTAATCCATACTGTGGTGATATACAGCACAGAAGGGGTTAATCCACACTGTGGTGATATACAGCACAGCAGGGGTTAATCCACACTGTGCTGATACACAGTACAGCAGGGGTTAATCCACACTGTGGTGATACACAGTACAGAAGGGGTTAAACCACACTGTGGACATACACAACACAGAAGGGGTTAATCCACACTGTGGTGATATACAGCACAGAAGGGGTTAATCCACACTGGTGATATACAGCACAGCAGGGTTTAATCCACACTGTGGTGATACACAGCACAGAAGGGGTTAATCCACACTGTGGTGATACACAGCACAGAAGGGGTTAATCCACACAGTAGTGATACACAGCACAGCAGGATTTAATCCACAGTGGTGATACACAGCACAGAAGGGGTTAATCCACACTGTGGTGATACACAGCACAGAAGGGGTTAATCCACACTGTGGAGATACGCAGCACAGAAGGGGTTAATCCACACAGAGGTGATACGCAGCACAGAAGGGGTTAATCCACACAGAGGTGATACGCAGCAATACATCACTCTCTGATACAAACAAACATTCCTCCAAACAAGACAAAATCAATAGTCAACAGAACACACATCTCTACAAACAACAATCCCATCACAAAGAAAGAAATGTCTATCTTGCATGTGTGATTAAGGCTTGTTTTGCCCAGGGTGTGGTGATGTTAGCAATGTCCAAACTGGACTGACAAGAACAGTAAACCCTGCAGACAAACAATGTGTATATTAACTCATGGACATGGGGAGGGAAGAATTGTGATAGACATGACAACATGGTTCCAGTGACTAGGTCATAATGGCGCTTTCAGAACACGTGACTTACAGTGTATTACAATGTTCACATTTTATTTATTTATTGTGGAGCTAATAGATATCAATACTATGAAGCAAATAAAAATATATATCCTGACGCAAGTATTGTGATTTATCCTATAGCAAATACATCATATGTCATGAAGCAGGCATTATGAATAATAATGAAGTAAGTACTGTGATATATCATAAGGCAAATACTATGATATATCATGGTGAAGGCATTACTACAGACCACGAAACAGGTTCTATGATATATCATGAAGCAAGCATTGCAATAAATCATAACTGACTGACTGAGTTTGGTTTTACGCCGCTTTTAGCAATATTCCAGCAACATCACGGCGGGGGACACCAAAAATGGGCTTCCCACATTGTACCCATGTGGGGATTCGAACCCGGGTCTTCGGTGTGACGAGCCAACGCTTTAACCATTAGGCTACCCCACCGCCCCCAATAAATCATGAAGTACTATGACATATCATGAAACATAGTAGAGTTATACATTATCAAGCAAATACTGAAATATATCATGGTGTTAGTATCATAATATACCTTCAAAAAATCCCATTGATACCTCCAGTTTTGGTTAATAACAGTATTGTAATCTCTGGTAGTATTCTTTCACTGATTACACGATTCGTTTACAGAAACATCTCCATAAAGTCACATAGTTTGAGAAGAATTGAATAAAAGTTGATTTGGAAAGACATTTTTGCACTAGCCCATTACTTAGCAAATTATATGTGCTACATGTATCAACTTTTGATGATGTGTTCAACTCGTGACACATTATTGAAACAATTTGATTGCATGTTTATTCCCTGATCTATCGCGTGGTCAGGTACGTAGAATGTCTTGGAGGATTTCAATATGCATCATGAATATATCAACATGTTAATGCCAGGTACAAACTATCGCATCATTAAATTTACCTTTAATAGAAACTTAAACTCATGCACATTTTGAATAAACAAACCTTGCAATATTTGCATTTATCATACTAAAACAATCACAAACATAAAAAGATGGTATAACTGACGATGACTGTATATATTCCGTGTCATGACCATTTGTCTGGGAGTCATACCATCCATATTCAAGAAACATCTCACCGTCTATTCTATACAAATATACAACAAAATTAAATAGGGATTTGTAACAGAAATGTACATACGTTTTTGATTATATACACATTTACAACAAAACATGCAGTATTATAACATTACAATCTTAGCCCAGCCTACCAAGTTGTCTCATATATACATGCCTGGTATCATCATCATATTGCTCTTATATTGACAAACATTCTTAGATCCTGAGCCCCTAAAATATCCAGATTGAATGCATTTAATTTATCTTCATTTTTACAGAGAATACCATATTAATCCCAAGTTGGCACCAAATTGTCCAAAGTCACTGCCCAGAAAATCCCTTTATAATCTCTTCATTTCCACAATCATATACATTATTGAGGTGAACTGACACAGGTAGGGACTAAAACACAATATCCAATATATACTTATCAAAAGAAGTTAAAGAACAAATGGGCCACCCATGTTCCCTTCTTTACATAAGTTGAGTAGTATATTCAGGGAAAAGCCATCAGCAGAGGACCACACTTGAAATTTGCGGACTATTCCATCTACTGTGAATACAAAACATTTGAAATATCTATCTGAAGACAGCGGTGTTGACTGATAAGATCTCTGGGATAAGAATGAGCAGGTTTACACCACATGGGAGAGAGCTCAGTTATATTACTTGGGCTGGGGGGCCAGAGGGTTTTGTTACACTAGCACACTGAAAATAATTACCCTCCCATGTCCATCTTTATTCATGAGAAGACAAATGCAAACACACTTTATATTTTATCATAAAATGTTTATTCCAATCATACTTCCCCCTATACATATGTGCAGTTTTTATGCCCCTCACCCCCATACCCGGAATTTATGCCATTCTTAGAATTCATAGGGTCTGTACCCATGACCACAAGTTTCAAGTGTGCCCATGTGGACACCAGACTGAGGTGCTTTCGATGACTCCCATGAGACTGACATGTCTTTTAGTCCCCCTTCTGACCCACTCCTACCCCCTCAATTAGAGACAGGCCCCTCTTGTTGTGTGTTGACAAACATCTACCATTTCTGTCTTGGTGGTTCCTTGTGTGCATAATACCCTCCTTCAACAGTTGGTGCCAAATACCCATCTTATCTTCAAAATACTGGGAGTTACCTGTCCTTGAAACAATACAAGTGCAGTTCAATCCCTCTGTTCAGCCACTATACTCCATAACTGCACTAACATGTGTAGACAGATCATATTTGTCACTCTCACAAATACAGTAGAATCTTTATTCACATCATAATTGCACCAAGAAAAACATGATTTCCCAATATCATGTTCACTGTTTAATAACCATACCTTCACAAACCCTCAGTGTCCTGACACAGGTGTGTTCCCCCCGACATTTGGTTTTATAAGCAGCATCAATACATAACGAATACAGTTTATGTGATCTACTTAGTACTTGTATCACAACAGACAATCATAGTGATATAACAATCCTTTCTGCGCCAGTCTTCCTCTGTCTGTTGGGATGAATCAACAAACACCATGTTCCTGATAGAGACCGTGTCCACCATGTCTTCATCTGATGCCACCAGATAATGAAACAGTTTTGGTGAACCTGAAAGCCCAGTTCCATGATTCCACAGAGTTCACAGGCTGATACAGACATGGTTAATATTCCAGTTTCAGCATGAGTCTTTGGGCCGTCCTTGTTTTCCCCATATACATACAGAAGTAAATATGTGTATATCCAACTGATTATATCTATCTGCCTTTGCTGGGCAGTTATATGTCTGGTATGTCCATATGAACTACTTCTTTCCTGGCAGTCTGTGGTATCAACCTTGAGTAGGAATTACAACAGCTGTTGCTGTTATGCACAAATCTTCCCTACTTTCCCCAAGACCGAGTTCCATCAAACCAGAAGAAGATATACAGGTAATCTCAGCTACTTCCGAAGTCCAGCACCTGGACATAGCCACTGATCCTTCTCAAAGCAACACACAGCAGGAACTCCTAAAGGATTTCAAACATCTTGTCCACCAATCAAACGGTAAATTTTCACTGATAACTGTTACCCAGCATATGACTTTGTCCATTAATATGAGGTTTGAAGCTGAAACTAAGCAGCAGCTATGTTTGAATGCAACAGTTTCTTTGGTAGTGAAGAACCATGCATTAATCCCCACAAAAACCAGCATGACGCCCATGGTCCTAGTGAAGGATGCTGTCTAACCCTGTGATAGCCCCAAGGAAGCTTGTAATGCTGTCGTGACAACAAGTAACATGTAATGTCAGGCGACTAGAACCTCTGAACCCACTGCATCTAGACTCTTCCTGCTGCATTTGGAGCCTGGCATCTGTGTTAGGACAGAGTGGACAGTTCGTGGAGGACGTCCTGCTGGTGACCTGCCAGGTTGGACACACCACGTCTCACGTCACAGATGATGAGGCGAACCTGAAACAAGCAAACAGTATCATTCCATCACAAATGGTAAATAATTCCTCTTAAGTACTGTGATCTGATTTCTCTTACTATTGACATAGTTCAAGCAGCCAGTAAGACATGCCTAATTTCTGTGTCAAGATACAGTCTTTGAAGTGGGAGTTGACACCATTATGCTGCAAATGCTGCCCATGCCTGATGGCTGCCAGGGTATCTCCTTGGGCACACCAGGCTGCCAGGGTATCTCCTTGGGCACACCAGGCTGCCAGGGTATCTCCTTGGACACACCAGGCTGCCAGGTGTATCTCCTTGGACACACCAGGCTGCCAGGGTATCTCCTTGGACACACCAGGCTGCCAGGGTATCTCCTTGGACACACCAGGCTGCCAGGGTATCTCCTTGGACACACCAGGCTGCCAGGGTATCTCCTTGGACACACCAGGCTGCCAGGGTATCTCCTTGGACACACCAGGCTGCCAGGGTATCTCCTTGGACACACCAGGCTGCCAGGGTATCTCCTTGGACACACCAGGCTGCCAGGGTATCTCCTTGGACACACCAGGCTGCCAGGGTATCTCCTTGGACACACCAGGCTGCCAGGGTATCTCCTTGGACACACCAGGCTGCCAGGGTATCTCCTTGGACACACCAGGCTGCCAGGGTATCTCCTTGGACACACCAGGCTGCCAGGGTGTATCTCCTTGGACACACCAGGCTGCCAGGGTATCTCCTTGGACACACCAGGCTGCCAGGGGTATCTCCTTGGACACACCAGGCTGCCAGGGTATCTCCTTGGACACACCAGGCTGCCAGGGTATCTCCTTGACACACCAGGCTGCCAGGGTATCTCCTTGGACACACCAGGCTGCCAGGTGTATCTCCTTGGACACACCAGGCTGCCAGGGTATCTCCTTTGGACACACCAGGCTGCCAGGGTATCTCCTTGGACACCAGGCTGCCAGGGTATCTCCTTGGACACACCAGGCTGCCAGGGTATCTCCTTGGACACACCAGGCTGCCAGGGTATCTCCTTGGACACACCAGGTACACAGAAGGAATATAACACATCAGCAAGGCTGCCAGGGTAACTCCTTGGACACACCAGGCTGCTAGGGTATCTCCTTGGACACACCAGGCTGCTAGGGTATCTCCTTGGACACACCAGGCTGCTAGGGTATCTCCTTGGACACACCAGGCTGCCAGGGTATCTCCTTGGACACACCAGGCTGCCAGGGTATCTCCTTGGACACACCAGGCTGCCAGGGGTATCTCCTTGGACACACCAGGCTGCCAGGGTATCTCCTTGGACACACCAGGCTGCCAGGGTATCTCCTTGGACACACCAGGCTGCCAGGGTATCTCCTTGGACACACCAGGCTGCCAGGGTATCTCCTTGGACACACCAGGCTGCCAGGGTATCTCCTTGGACACACCAGGCTGCCAGGGTATCTCCTTGGACACACCAGGCTGCCAGGGTATCTCCTTGGACACACCAGGCTGCCAGGGTATCTCCTTGGACACACCAGGCTGCCAGGGTATCTCCTTGGACACACAAGGCTGCCAGGGTATCTCCTTGAACACACCAGGCTGCCAGGGTATCTCCTTGGACACACCAGGCTGCCAGGGTATCTCCTTGGACACACCAGGCTGCCAGGGTATCTCCTTGAACACACCAGGCTGCCAGGGTATCTCCTTGAACACACCAGGCTGCCAGGGTATCTCCTTGGACACACCAGGCTGCCAGGGTATCTCCTTGGACACACTAGGTACACAGAAGGGATTTTTGTTTGTTGTTTAATGCACTCAGCAATATACCATATGGCAGTGGTCTGTATATGGATCTGGACCAGGCAATCCTGCCATCAATCTCATGAGCATCGATCTATACAAATGGGAACCGATGACATGTGTCAGCCAAGTCAGCCAGCCTGACCACCCGATCCCATCATTCACCTCTTGCGACAAGCATGGGTTACTGAAGACCACTTCTAACCCGGATCTTCATGGGTGGAGACAAGCATGGGTTACTGAAGACCAGTTCTAACCTGGATCTTCACGAGTGAACAAGCATGGGTTACTGAAGACCAGTTCTAACCCGATCTTCAAGACCAGTGGAGACAAGCTTCACGGGTTACTGAAGACCAATTCTAACCCGGATCTTCACGGGTGGAGACAAGCACGGGTTACTGAAGACCAATTCTAACCCGGATCTTCATGTGTACACAAAAGGAATATAACAAATCAGGTTCCAGGAAATAGGCAGTGATGGACAATGTGAAGTTTTTTAAGTGTGGGCAAGAGTGAATAAGTGTGGACTCTGTGGACAACCGAAAATTCCTGATAAGTTTTAACACAGTTACATGTCATAGCAAAAGACTGAAAAGCTGAAATACAAGTGTAAATCTGTGCTTGAGTTAGAGCCTGTTGGACTCTCATGAACAATCCCCAGATGGAACAAAACTTTGACAACCAATTCTAGTTCAAGTCACATTTAATGTTATTGCGCTTCTGACATAAGATCAATGGGCATTCACGAGCCTCAGTTGCCACTCACCATCCTACTCCGATCAAATTACCTCATTAATTATTCAATCATTGAATTATCTGTGGTAGTGTGTTCTCCAGCTTGGTGTGAGCAATATCCGTTAATTCCCCTTCACGGAGTGTCGCCTTCCATGTACACCCCAGATGCTCTTTGATGTCTGTCTGAGGGGACATGGAGGCAGGAGGTCAGGGGAAGCCTTGTCAAGACTGTATGTTCTTGGTCTTGGGGGTGGGGGAAGGGATGTGCAGTGTAGAAGTAGGGGTAGTAATATTAACATTACTATCATTAACAGTGGATATATAATCCTGACTGAAGACAGAGGCTAATCTGGCCTTGAATCCCACTGGAAACAGTTGTAGTGCATCAGTCAAGGCCATGAAATCCAAAGGCCTAACTGGCCCAGAAAATCTAACCTGGCATTGAATTCTAACTGGAAATAACTGTGGTGTTATGGAAACTTAATGGCCTTTTAATCCGAAAATGAAATGGTTTTAATGTGTAAGAGGCCTAACCTGATCACAAAATCAGTTAGATGGCCTCAATCCTAACTGTGACATGTCAGGATGTCATTGTGGCCTAACTTGGCCAGGAATCCTCATGGAAAACTGTGTTTCAGGGGCCTGACCTAAACTTGAGTCCAAACCCAAAACGTGTAGTGTTGCAGGGGCCTAACCTGCCCTTGAATTTCAACTGGACATTGTTATAGTGTGCTTGGACAAAACCTGGCCTTGAATACCAGACGGAAACAGTTATTGTATTTTGGAGACCTAATGCCCTTGAATCAAACAATAAAACAGTTGTAGTGCCTGCAAGAACTAACCTGCCCTTGAATTCTAACAGGGAACAGTTATGTCTTCAGGAAACCTACTGGCCTGAAATGTCCACAGCGTTAGTTTTGGATGGTGCTTTACCAATATGTCTGGGCCAAACTACACTCGGAGGTTACCATAGTTACCAGTCTATTAGGACATACTAGAACAGGGATCAATCTGGAAAACCAAGAAACAGGCGTAAGGAGAGATACAATTCTGCTTTGCAACCCTGTTAATATTGCATAAAAACCTTGAAATTTCTTTACAAACGTTGTCCCAACATGTGCTGGTTATGTGGCAAATGACAAAAGTATTTTCAGCATATACATCCTCGTCAGAACGTATAAATTTGGAAATAATTATTTTTCAAAATTCTCTTGTGTCTATAAACACACCGTCAGAACCCAAAACACTTTCACCATGTTTACAAAATAGGCTATTTATGTAACAGTATTGCAAAACAATTTTGAATGACAAAATTTCAAAGCTGCAGCCAACATCCCGTTATGAACAAATCAATAGCGGAAGCTAATTTAAACATGTTCACAAAAGGAGATGGTGACACAGGAATAGTTTTCTGGAATTAGAATGAACTATTTTAAGGAGACGTAAGTCATTGCACTAGAGCTAGCTGATCCTGTCTGAGAGGGCCGGAGAGAATGGCCAGACCATACCACCAATAAGCCTGACTTTGTCATTTGCATCCCAGAGCAGTCGAGGACTAATCCTCGATCAATATGCGGTAAATCTCATCAAAGCAAACAAAGTGGCAAGTGCTTGGCTCTGGCCGCATTAATGGAGGAAATAAATACAGGTAGTGATACAATAGAGCCAGCGTAACCTCGGAGCCATGGAGGCCTGTGTACTGGGGAAGATTACTGGCCTCTTCGGTGTATAATGTACTCGGAAATATTAACTCTTTACTTAGCTGGGCTCAGATAGGAAACAGGCTGGCTTCAATTGTAAATCCTGTATAATAGCTTGCGGCAAAATACATTTTTTGCTCTAATGGAATTAGAAACTGGAAGACATTAAAGACAGCTACAGTGAAATCTGAATAATATTGAACCATATTAACCAAAAGTCTGGCTTAATGAAGGATGTGAACTCCTAACTGATATGATGACACATGCATTATTAAATGTTCACTGGCTTCCGCTGAAGCCTTTGTCAACAATAGAGTTCCAGGAATATACTGGGAGATAAAAGTTCCAGTTACTTCAATTTTATGACTCACTTAATAATTACTGCTACTTTTATGTTACGGTTAATCTAAGGATATTATATCTAAAGCCACTTTATGGTAGGTGCTGCTCACTGGAATGGCGGGATTCATGAGTAGAAGATTTATTGCTCTAGCAAACACAATAATTTATACTGTGGGTACACATTTGATTTGGATTATAAATTACCTGACAGAGGCTTAAACATTTATGGGTGGAGGGTAAAATTTGTCATTTGGAATTTCCAAATTCATAAGGCTAAACCAGTAACACCATAATTAACTGTGCTGTACCAGCTGTGTAACATCCTCAGTTACATAGTTTCTTGATCATAGTGTGCATCAAAGTATAACAGGTGCCCCTGTCAAGGTGATGCAGTATTTTGTAGAAAAATGCACTAAAGAAACCCAACATGTTCCTTTGTTGAATTCAGGTATAGATAAACAAAAACTAAAAAACTTGTAAATATACAATTGACATTTGAGATAAAACATCACTGTAAATATAATTGACATTTGAGATAAAACATCACTGTAAATATACAATTGACATTTGAGATAAAACATCACTGTAAATATACAATTGACATTTGAGATAAAACATCACTGGAAATATAATTGACATTTGAGATAAAACATCACTGTAAATATACAATTGACATTTGAGATAAAACATCACTGGAAATATACAATTGACATTTGAGATAAAACATCACTGGAAATATACAATTGACATCTGAGATATTACATCACTGTAAATATACAATTGACATTTGAGATAAAACACTGGACATATACAATTGACATTTGAGATAAAACCTCACTAAGATATCATGATCTTCCACGTGTTCTTCTAGGCATTGTTTTAAATGTAAAGTTTGAGATTACTGTGTGGATTTCCTTGTACACTATGCTAGAAATAGCTACCAACTCTGCAAACTTTTTCTCCTAATTCACCAATGGTTTGGTTACAATATACCCAATAGTTTTACGCAGCACTCAGCAATATTCCAGCTATATGGTGGCAGTCTGTAAATACTCGAGTCTGGACCAGTGATCAACAGCATGAGCATCGATCTACGCAATTGGGAACCGATGACATGTGTCAACCAAGCCAGCGAGCCTGACCACCCGATCTTGTTAGTCGACGCTTACGACAAGCATGGGTTACTGAAGGCCCATTCTAACCTAGACCTTCATGGGTCATATATCCTATGAAATAACTGCAAACACTTGATACAATAGAATGGAGAAATATTATCTTAATCGGGAAAAGTATTTATAAATATTGTATACCACAGTAATGAGTAGTGAGTGTGGTAGTTCGGATAAGCTTATCTATTCTCTTGTCACCTAGCATCTGCTCAAGGCACCAATAGCAGTAATCAGACCATAGTTTGTGTTGATAAAGGTGAGCTGGTGCACACCTGATAATTTCACACATGACATGGCTGCATTTATTAGTTTATATATAAACAATGAATTTTTAATAAAATAAATAAAACAGATTAAAGACCAGCCTCTGTATCTACAAGGAAGACCTTAGCACTGTGGGAGTTACGATCACCTTAGTGCTAAGATTACTATGTCGATTGGGACCCTAATGTACAATTAATATTTTCTTCTAACCATACAGTGACCAAACTTCATATTTTTTTACAGATTTGTTTACATTATATTTCTGATGTTTCATCTTCACAGTAATGTCACAGCAAAAACACATGAAAACTAATTATTGATATAATATGTGCACTCTCCTCTATGTAGAGGATGTTTTTTAAGTGTGCACAAAACTCAAGAAAACACAGCCCTGATAACCAGCCCATCTGAACACAGATCACTGCTTGGTGGGTAAAGGCCTGGCTGGTGTACCAGGTGGAATACACACTGACACTCGTATATACACATGGGTTTGAAAAATATATATTGCTAACAGAAATCATTTCTTTGATTATTTTGGTTGACTTTGGCCCTTCTTACACTGCCATGGACACTTGAATGACAAGAAATACTAAATGCCTTGTTCTACAGTTCCAACAGAGTCAGTGATAAAGGTCTCAACAACTTTTATATTCATAGTGGAAAAGAGTCATCACTTCAGGAGGAGTATTGAGCTCTTTAGCTGCTGTTACAGACATGACAAATCTTTATGGATCATCAACTTCTATATTCTACCATGTTTACAATCGTGATGTTTCGGTATAGATTCTTATACCGTTTTCAAACATAACACTATAAGAATCTATACCAAAATGTCGCTATTGTAAAATAAAGAAGTTGATCATCCATAAAGTTTTGTCATCTCTACACCATCAACTTCTGGAATGCCACTCAAACAAATGCTATTACAGATGTTATACAAACGGTCAGTATGTTTCAAAGCAGTCAACCTTTAGCAAGCATGAAGGATTGACACACAGTGATTGATAAATTGATTGATTGATTGATTGAGAGGTCTCATGTATACATCAACATAAAGTCTACATGCAGAGATGCAGTTGTGGAAAATGTTCAAGCAATTTCAGATAAGGCTTTACATATTTCAGCCTGGGGCCCACAGAATTTGAGCGTGGCAAGCAGAAGAATGTCACTTCTACACCATACGCAGTGCATGTAATCAGATAATATGCAGTTTCATATTGAAAGTTTGCCTCTTTCTACTAACTGAGGTTGATCATCCTTTTGTACTTGCCTGGTCAAGATACCACTGTAAGATAACTGTCAGCTTGTATAACACAATGTTTAATAGCAAAGGTCATGGTAAGGAACTGCTGGAACAAATTTCAAGAAATACTGAAAACTCTCAACATTGCTGGGCTTATTCACTGTTGTTGCATAGTGTTGTTCAGTGAGTTGATAGATCACTGAGAGGAGCTTATGCACACACAATGACCCCTAGCGACCCTGTTGCTAGGCATGTTGTCAGGAAGTTGAAGACAACCACTCAAGCAGATTCCTCTCACAGAGGATGCAGCACAAATAGATATAATCAGGCCAAGTGATGACCATCCCTGATGGTTTTGGACACTAAAGACACCATGATCCCCTTAACACCCACGATATAGTGAGTGAGTATGATGATTTTACGCCGCTTTTAGCAATATTCAAGCAATATCGTGGTGAGGGGACACCAGAAATGTACCCATGTGGGGAATCGATCCCGGGTCTTCAGCGTGGCGAGTGAACACTTTAACCACTAGGCTACCCTACCACCCCAACACCCACGAGATAGATATCTGAACTTTGTTTCAAACAAGATGATTAAGTTGACACCAGGTAGCTTGACGCTTTGTTGTGATAATCATTGAATATTGTATAAGTGTTTTATACCTACTGAAAGAGAAATAACTCAACAGTCACCATCAAAAGATGCTGAACAAATTAAAATACACACCATGCTAAATTTAGGACAATTAGCAATCACCTTTATATGAACAGAATTCAGAAAATGATTTAACACACATCCACAGAGACAAGAGGAGACAAACTGGGGTACATATCAACTGCTTGCCTCTGTATATTCAACATATGCGACAGCCATTCAGCATTTATGTGATAGTTGTAATCCCCTCTCTCAAATAAAGTACTGCATAGGCTAATAAACTGAGCAGGGGTAATCAAGCAAAACAGTCTATAATAATGTTAGTCACAGAATAATCACAGAATAATCAGATTACTCTGCCACAAATTTGTTCATTCTCAAGGAGAACACTGGGGCCACAGGGGCCTCCACAGTTGGGAACAGGCAAAGTCCCTAGATCACAGACACTGGAGCCTTAGAGGCCTTCACTGCTGGGAACAGGCACGGGACCTACAGCACAGACACTGGTGCCACAGAGGCCTTTACTGCTGGGGATAGGCACAGGGCCTACAGCACAAACACTGAGGCCTTAGAGGCCTTCACTGCTGGGGATAGGCACAGGGCCTACAGCACAGACACTGGGGCCTTAGAGGCCTTCACTGCTGGGGATAGGCACAGGGCCTACAGCACAGACACTGGTGCCACAGAGGCCTTTACTGCTGGGGATAGGCACAGGGCCTACAGCACAAACACTGGGGCCTTAGAGGCCTTCACTGCTGGGAATAGGCACATGGCCTACAGCACAAACACTGGGGCCTTAGAGGCCTTCACTGCTGGGGATAGGCACGGGGCCTACAGCACAGACACTGGGGCCATAGAGGCCTTCACTGCTGGAGACAGGCACGGGGCCTACAGCACAGACACTGGTGCCACAAAGGCCTTCACTGCTGGGAATAGGCACAGGGCCTACAGCACAGACACTGGTGCCACAGAGGCCTTTACTGCTGGGGATAGGCACAGGGCCTGCAGCACAAACACTGGGGCCTTAGAGGCCTTCACTGCTGGGAATAGGCACAGGGCCAACAGCACAGACACTGGTGCCACAGAGGCCTTAAATGCTGACGATAGGCATGGGGCCTACAGCACAGACAATGGTGCCAGATAGGCTTTCACTGTTGGGAATAGGCACAGGGTCTACAGCACAGACACTGGTACCACAGAGGCCTTCACTGCTGGGAATAGGCACGGGGTCTACAGCACAGACACTGGTGCCACAGAGGCCTTCACTGCTAGAGATAGGCACAGGGCCTACAGCACAGACACTGGTGCCACAGAGGCCTTCACTGCTGGGGATAGGCACAGGGCCTACAGCACAGACACTGGTGCCAGATAGGCTTTCACTGTTGGGGATAGGCACAGGGCCCACAGCACAGACATTGGTGCCAGATAGGCTTCCACTGTTGGGGATAGGCACGGGGCCTACAGTACAGACACTGGGGTCATAGAGGCCTTCACTGCTGGGAATAGGCACAGGGCCTACAGCACAGACACTGGTGCCAGAGAGGCTATCACTGCTGGGAATAGGCACAGGGCCTACAGCACAGACACTGGTGCCAGAGTGGCCTTCACTGCTGGGGATAGGCACAGGGCCTACAGCACAGACACTGGGGCCAGATAGGCCTTCACTGCTGGGGATAGGCAGGGGCCTACAGCACAGACACTGGGGCCATAGAGGGTCTAATTGGCCTTCACTGGTGGAGACAGAAATGATTTTGGTGTGAGAGAGGCCTCCACTTCTGGACAACATATACAGGACAGATTGTGTTATCTCAGTGGGCTAGTACTTGGCTTACTGCCTTGTACATGTGAAGTGTGTACAATGATCTCTTCAACAAGATCCTTAAAATGCAACAGGCTTAAGACTATCACAACATTTCAATCACATGATACACCGACTGAGAGTATGTCTCTTTCACTTACCAGCTGTGTGAAGAAGCCAGTCTCTTTTGGTTTCTCGGAGTACCTCTCATACTGATCCAGACTGTCCTGTAGTTTGAGAGTCAGCGTGTCATAGTTGCTCTTCACAACCTCCAACACCTGGAACAGCACAACGGCAATGTCAAGGTCAGCAACATGGTGGAGAGTAGTCATGATAATAACTATCCTTGTTTACTACCCTTTGTTGTGAAACAAGCTATCTCTACTACCTATTTGTTAGCTTCAGTCATGTGTCTCAAAGATATCATTTGTTACATTTCACCGCTTTCAGAAAGGCCTTTGTATTTCATAGCTTTCAACCAAGGGAGTAATGCCAATTTCCACTTGTCAGAGGGGTACGGAAAGTATGTGATCTAGATTACAAGCTGCCAGACTTCCATATTGTAGAAGTCTCGGTGGCTGCATGGGTTAGATGGCCGATTTTGTGTGCTGGCGATTTGGTGCCTCAGGGACTCAACCCCATGTATAACATTGTTAGACACAGGGCACTGGTTATCATGTTTTTAATACTTAATATCCATATCTCCTGGGCTTATTCCATGCAAACAGATGACTTATCATTCCTGAATCTATATCACATTACTTAACTCTGAAACAAAGGTTTATGTGGCTCACGTACAATGACAAACATTTAGAACATAAGTTTTCATAAAGAAATCACAAACAATCGACTTGTATATTTCTCTGCAGATTTTCTTTGGCTATTCAGGTAAGCAATTAATAACATATATTTAGGTGATGTTCTTTTATACATAAGCCTTCAGAAACAGCTTATCACTGACAGGGAGATGTTATAGTTACCTGCTCCTCTGTGAGGGAGGACAAATGGTTGGCTGCTGCCCAGGAATCTACTTTTGGTGTAAAGTGGTTGATGATGGCTCTGAAGTAAAACAAGAATCATCGGTCATTCCAACACGATCAGCTATTTCGGAAACAATGTGTCTAAGTAGCAGGTGTGTCTAAGTAACAAGTGTGTCTAAGTAACAGGTGTGTCTAAGTAACAAGTGTCTCAAGTAACAGGTATGTCTAAGTAGCAGGTGTGTCTAAGTAACAAGTGTGTCTAAGTAACAGGTGTGTAACAGGTGTGTGTCTAAGTAACAAGTGTGTAAGTAACAGGTGTGTCTAAGTAACAGGTGTGTCTAAGTGACAAGTGGGTCTAAGTAACAGGTGTGTCTAAGTAACAGGTGTGTCTAAGTGACAAGTGTGTCTAAGTAACAGGTGTGTCTAAGTCTAAAGTAACAGGTGTGTCTAAGTAACAGGTGTGTCTAAGTAACAAGTGTGTCTAAGTAACAGGTGTGTCTAAGTAACAGGTGTGTCTAAGTAACAGGTGTGTCTAAGTAACAGGTGTGTCTAAGTAACAGGTGTGTCTAAGTAACAGGTGTGTAACAGGTGTGTCTAAGTAACAGGTGTGTCTAAGTGACAGGTGTGTCTAAGTTACAGGTGTGTCTAAGTAACAGGTGTGTCTAAGTAACAGGTGTGTCTAAGTAACAGGTGTGTCTAAGTATACAGGTGTGTCTAAGTAACAGGTGTGTCTAAGTAACAGGTGTGTCTAAGTAACAGGTGTGTCTAAGTAACAGGTGTGTCTAAGTGTGTCTAAGTAACAGGTGTGTCTAAGTAACAGGTGTGTCTAAGTTACAGGTGTGTCTAAGTAACAGGTGTGTCTAAGTAACAGGTGTGTCTAAGTAACAGGTGTGTCTAAGTAACAGGTGTGTCTAAGTAACAAATGTGTGTAAGTAACAGGTGTGTCTGGTTCTGTATCATGTATGGGGGAAGCAATATCATAAATGTTTCTGTTTCATTTCTTCAGTGTTGCAGTTGGTTCTATTACACAGGCTAATGATGGGGTAGCCTAGTGGTTACAGCACTCATTCATCACACCTAAGTCTGGGGTTCGGTTCCCCTCATGGGTACAATGTGTGAAGCCCATTTCTGGTGTCTCTCATATGATGATATTGCTGAATATTGCTGAATATTGCTACAAGCATAAAACCCAACTCACTCTTCCACAGCCTGGTATTGTATCCACAACCTTTCAGTATCAATCTTCAACAGTCTCTTTTTGTTTAACGATATATCATATGATAGCAACCTGTACATAATTGAGTCAGGACACAATACACTGCTGATTCATATTATGACCTATGCAATCAGGATATGACACACAATCTTAGATGAGATGGAATATATATGACTGCTGTCTTAAACCATCTCATTAATCTTCTTGTGAAGTTACCTCATTTGTAACACTGACAAACCATTCTCAAGATCAGCAAATACTGTGGTAGATATTGACAGCAAATAATTCCTTTTGTGTTTACATTAGAAACGGAAGTTGAATTCCATGCCAAGGCTGTTTTTATCACATGCAAAAACTGAACTGAGACTGATGTCAGCTCCTGAGATAAAAACTCAGCCATGTTTTGATTGAGTTTGTTTGGTGAAAGCAACTCAGCTGAGCCAAAACCTCAGTTTGAATAAACACTCTAGAAATCAGAGCCAGATATTTTAGTGACAGTATTTTGTCAACATGGCAGCAAAGAAGTGATAAGAGAATGAAATTGAAGCGTGTGGTTGTGGTTTAACATCAGCAGCAATATTCCAGCTACATCGAAGTCTGTAAATAGTAAATAATCCAATCTGGACCACACATGATGATATCACAAATATTGATGTATGAAATCAGGTTACAATGACATGCATCTGCCAAGAACAACATGCAAACATCCATGACAATCAGACATGCATATTGCACCTCAGTTGTTAGGTGAATAGAAGTGTAAGGTGTGGACATGTGTGAGATTGCATGAAGATGACAGCCCTACCTGACATTTACAAGATGGTTGGTGAGTCTGGCTGCTGAATCCCTGTGCTCACTGTCATTGGTGGTGTAGCGTAACGCTGAAATACACAATTCATTCCAAATAACTGCTACATCTTGCTTTGGGATGATATAAACATAAAAGGGATGATGAACACTGTATACACAGGGAATCAAACCTGGTATGCAGCAGGAAAAGCAAACACCTTAACTGATAGGCTATTCCACTGTCCTAAAGACACTCTTTGCTTATCAATGTATGCCGCAATATGGCATATAGAACTATCCAGTGATTGCTATAAGCAATGACCAATGCCGTTCTGGTACAAGGACTTGTCATCAACAATGTCACAGATTCTGACCACCTGGTCTATCCGGTCGACATATGGGTTGCTGGGACCCACTGCTAGATAGCATCACCCTGGGGTCAATTCTCAAGTAGCTACACAGACAGTCCGTGTTAACACCAAATCTCAAACGACTTTTGCAAAAGTTACTTACTTAAGGGACCAATTTCATTTCTTGTTTTCACGGATTTTGTCCTCAGAAACTTAAGGGCTGGAGGAAAAAAATAAATGTAATTTTCTGAGTAAAATTGAAATTTTATACTTATCCTGACTCATGTATTATTGCTTGTCTCCCACTTCCTTGCGAGCGTTAGTGGAACACTTGTATCTCCTTTTTTGAAGTTCCCTTCAAAAAAGCAGATGTAAAATCACTACTCACCACGAGTTGCCTCCCTCTCCGTTTTGGCGGGAAAAGCGGCACCACCGATCTTCCCACTCTTCACTCTCCGGGTGCAAGCCTGACACTTAGATTTGCTGGGTAATCCAAAGTGCCTAAGCGGTGAGGTTAGGAGGGCTTACCTCATGAGTCAGGATAAGTATAAAATATCAATTTTACTCAGAAAATTACATATTTTTCCTTATTCTGACTCATGTATTATTTGCTTGTAGAATCCTCACGATTTGGTGGTGGATCAAGCCACTTCTGGATTCAATTTGGTGATTTTGTAGTTTACATCAATCTCTGGAGCCTTTATGCAGGGTCCCATGTAAAGTAGCTGGAATTCCCAAGCTTGGGCGTTGGGAATATGTTGACTTTGTAACTTCATAGCCTTAGCAAGGCTGTGCTGAACCAACGCCAATGTGAATACCTGAAGATCTGTAATATGCATAAGTGAAGATCTCTATATGGACATGAGTCCCTCCTGGATTCTTTAGATACATCTCTAACCTTTGAGAAGGTGTAGGTTGTTAGCACCAAGGAGTGCAGTTAGTCCCGTTATTATCTTCTGATGTAGATATATCTATCTAAAATTCTCAACGATGTGAATCCGTCCTGGATTCAGTCTGAAGATCTGCGCAGGTGATGAATTAGGACAAGAGTACCCCTCTTGAACTTCAACATCGTGTCCCTCTGTCTTTGCGCGAGGCTAAGTTTTCTTCCTCCATGCTGAAGAGTTCCTTCAGTATAGGCTCTAGCGAAGATCAAGGTCTGAGGGTGAAGTGGGATGGTCCAAGGGCGTCTATATTAATCGTCGAAACTGCAGAGCATGACTGTCAAGTCGTGATCCTTCACACATTTCTTCATGCCGATTACCTCCTGCAGCTTTGTCCTTTTAGACTTCGCGCAAACCGTCCATTAGGTCCATCATTTGCTGCATAAAAATACCCGTGTTGAAGGTCTATGGCGACTGCAGATGTAGTGGCAGCATCTGAGAGTGTTCGGCTTTTTGCGTTGAACTGTGGGATATTTGGAGACCGGAACTTTGTTGCCTTCCTGAAGGCTGCGTCAAAGGTCTAAAGGAGTGCGTCGAAACCAGGCCCCGATTTCCTGGCGAAACAAACTTAAGTCTCTGAGTTTTGAATTAAGTTAGAGTTTTTTACTCAAATTTGAGAAAATGCATTTGCCAGAATGAACTGAAATCGACATTGAACTCAAACTTAGTAGACAATTTGAGTTTGGTGGATAGATTACTAAAGTTGTTTGGGCTTTTTTTTTTAAAAATGCAGTTGAGTTAAAATTCAGCTGTTTCAAATTGTCAAACTCAGTTTGAAATTTGAGTAAAAACTTAAGTTTGTTTCGGTGAAATCGGGGCCAGGTCAATTGGATGTAGGGTGATTGTATCTACATCATCATCCTTCATTAGATGCGTGAATGCTTGAATGCTTGCATTCTCTTCTTTAGCTGGGTGATGCTAGGTTCAGCCCATTAGCCATCCAATATTTTATTTCTGAGTCCGAAAATATGATTCCGCCTATGCGTCCTCTGTATCATGTCCAGTTGGATATGATCGTTGAGTATCCTCCTGCATGGAGATCTAGCGTGGCAATCTGTGTGAAATGAGTATGTAGAACTATGTGTAGTTCTAAGAGGAGATCTGTATGGAGACCTCATGCGGAGGTGAGAGCATCTACGAACCGGGGTTGCCTTCGCAAAGGCAATATATTCCTATGTAAGGTGAATCCCATGACTAATATGCATGGTGATTTCACAGGACATTCTTTATGATCTATCTGACGACCTTCGCAGGTGAGATTTTGTTGAGGGTCTGAGTCCTGAGACGTCTCTGTATCTCTGTGATGTAGGTAGCCCGCGTGAAGGCTCTTCATTAGCTTCATCATCAGATGACGGCATCTATTTTGGTCGGATGAATGTCCCTTCCTTCAGCGCCCAGGTTCTTTGGCTCGATAGATGCAGGGTAGGTCTGCTCTTAGTCCTAGAGCTAGAACCTCTCTTGTAGATATCTCAGATGCTCTACCGTGCGGGGGTCTTGATGCAGCACTGGACCCTCTCAGTTGATGACTTGAGCATGAGAGCGGCTGCCTGACCATCATCTGTTTGGAGAATTGCTGCATGAAGGTCCCGGGTTGGAATGTCTGTGACGACTCTGTAGAGATGACGCATCTGGAGAGGGTAGCTGATATGGTCCAGGGATCGCTGTACCTCATGGGTCCCTGCTGCCAGTGTAGAAGGTAACTCAGACTGCGCGCCGATAATGTTGCTGACGCTACCGCTGCTGAGGCCTGTGTCTTCTTCTTATGCAGTATCTCTGGGATGAGGATAGGCGGTTCTTTGCACAAGCCTATTTCTTCCATCGGACGATCTCGCAGAGAAGGTCCTTAGTAGTCTGTGAAGAGCTCCTCTGTAGATCTCTGCTGAAGCCTTAGGGGTGTAAGGCTTCTTCTGCGACTAAGATGGCCTCTTCTTCTTACATTATGGGTTGAGGAGTTGTCCGGCGCGGAAGTTCTTTTCTTCGGCGTGAATGGCGGACTTCCCTCATCCCACTCATCTTCTGAAGACGCCTCGCAGGTCACTGGATGGAAATATGTCGCCTGACAACGACAGACAGCTCTTTAGGGACTCAACCCGATTTAGCCATGACTTGTAACAGCCGCCTGGATTTATCCTTATGCGCTCTAAGTACAGAGGAATAATAATTATTAAATTCAATTTTTGTTGGTTGCAGACATAATTTACAAAAGCAAGAGCTAGAAGTACATATTGTTGTGCAACTAGGGCACAATAATGTGGGTCTGCAACAGAGAACCTACACCTACACGAAAACAGGTTTTCATGAAATGTAAACAAACTGAACAATCAAGTGAAACCGTGGAATAAACAGTCAAATTTGCTAATAAATTTTAAACCATATTGTAGAAGGATACTCCCTGAAACATTATAAAGGTAAAATTATAGGGTAATAACTAAGTTAGCAAAGGATATATTGCCGTGTTGGAGATACAGGTGCTCTCCCAACCGATCCACTAGGGCTAAGAAGGAGAGAGAAAGAGTGGGAAGACGGTTGGTGCCGTTTTTTCCGCTTAAAAACGGAGAGGGAAGCAACTTCGTGGTGAGTGTAGTGATTTTACATCTGCTTTTGAAGGAACTTCAAAAAGGAGATACAAGTGTTCCACTAACGTCAGCGAGGAAGAGGAGATAAGCAATAATACATGAGTCAGGATAAGGAAAAATAAATAAAATCACCAGTCAAAGTAATATTCCTTCTAAATACTCAAAGTATTTTACTTCTGGCAATTTATGAAGTGTATATGGGAAAAACAACAACAACAATAAAAACAAAAAAAACAATCTAAAAAACTTTTTCTGTAAGTTTACATTTTTGGCCTATAAAAAACATTAGGATTTTATTTTTTAGCAAGAAAAATTAATTTTCATTTTTTTCTTATTCTTGTAAAAATACAACAAGCGGATCTGTAAAGCAAGAAATAAAATTGGTCTGGCCTAAAGACTTCATAAAACACATGTATGATCATGAAATATTTTGATGTTTTTTATCTCAAACCCCATTCACTCAGCATATCATTTTTATTATCCTTTTTGTCTCAGCTGCATTTAAGGAACAATGCTGGCATTTTCATTCTTGTACTATGGACAAATTGATGTATTTATTCATGTTCCCAAGAACTGTGATGTTTGTATAAATGAATCGTTACAAGTTCCTCTATTTTTCCATGACTGGTGACTCACCCATGGAGTAGAGATTGTCAAAGACTTGATGCATGCGGACCAGTTCATAGTACAACTCATCATAGCTGTTTGGGTTGGGTAAAAACGTATCGCCATACGTGATGAACAAGTTGAACACGTTTACAACCTGCAAACAGAAATACACCTGCTAAACCTTCTGTCATGCACACAGAATAACAACAGAGTTGGTGTTTTAAACCAAAGTTTGTTGGTTACGCTCAGCAATATTCTAACTACATGACTTTATGCACGGTAAACAAAGGAGTCTGGACCAGACAATCCAATGACTGATTTCAACAATCAGGAGTGAGCATGAGAAGTTTAGTTGGGCAATATTGCCGGCGAGTCTGTATGTCGTCAACCAAGGGATCAACAGCATGAGCCTTAACTGGCAACTGGGAACCGATGACATGATTCAAGCCAGCGAGCCTGACCACCCGATCCTGTTAGTCGCCTCTTATGACAAGCATGGGTTACTGAAGATCAATATTCTAACCCGGATCTTCACGGGTCACAATCCGAGGAGATGCAGTTAACAAACCATCATCTGTACATGGATACCAAGTGAACATGTGAGTGGTTGAATGTTGCACTGCAGATCTGTGTTTGCTGTCATACACAATACCTGTGACGGGCGGAAGTTAAATGTAGAAATATCACTAGCATAGCAGTTTGAGTAACATCATTCAACTCAGAGAAGAGGTATTTGCATATTGAACCAAATGTCTAAACATTACACTTTGCATACACAGCAACCACTGCCTGGACTGTCTAAGACAACATCACCATGTCTGCAGGGAACTGTCTACTTTCTGCTCACAACTCAAACCATAGACTGACTTTCTCCAAATGACTTCTTATTTCTATGCGGTTTGGACATGCACCATGCATGGATATATACATCATACAATGGACTATTATCAGTCATAGTATCATAAAAGGTTTCTATCATCAACTGAAAGTTGTTTATTTGAGTACAAACACCAGAAAACAATGAATACCAAGAACATCTCACCTTCGAACAGAGATGAAAAATGTTATGTTTCTTCACTAGCTGCGACTCGTGAGACATGATGAATTTCAGGAGGTTGATGAGAGCTGAAGTAACAACATACATCAACTGATAATAATGTGTTTACATTTGATAAGTCATATAACTTCTCTAAACAAAGAGATCAACAAGCAGTCCTCATACAGCACTTCACTGCCATCGGTCAATGAAGATTTGCTGGTGCAACAGTGTCAAGATAAACTTCAATCTTATATTCTTGCCTGTCAGATTTTTCACATAAATCTTTACACACAAAACTACCTTACTACCAGTTTCTGAGCCACTACATTATACCTGTTTTGGTAAGTTCTCCATGCATCAAATATGTGTATGCAGTGAATGTCCATCACAATTTCAGTCTAAGTAAACTTAGGCTCAGTATTATTCATTACACTGCTATACTGAGTCTAACAAAACCTTGTGGAAGGTCGCGTCAGGTAACCTTTGAGCGACCTATGACCGTCCAATCAAACAGATTTAACCAATCAGACAATGGCTACTATTTAGGGTTCGCCGGGACTTACAAAACTGATCTCAAAACAAATGAAAACCTGCATAAAACACAGATATATGACCTGCAGAATATACACCCTTTTTGGGTTTCCGTTGACATGGTTATCATTAGCTAATATTTCCGCAAGCTGACATCCTTGAATACTGACAAAACGTTATTTTCAGCAACTGTTTACTCACGATTGTGGCGTGCTCCATGTGCATCACTCGGAAGCGATCGTACGGAAAATAGAATTCGGAATCGTTCGGGTACAAAACTTTTTCGAGGTACAAGTTCAGTAGGCATGTGCAAATGTCAACTTTCGCGATTTGGTAAGCTGTGTTCTGATTGGTCAATTGAAAAGGTTACCTGACGCGACCTTCCACAAGGTTTTGTTAGACTCAGTATAGCAGTGTAACAATAATATTGAGCCTAAGTTTACTTAGACTGATCACAATTTCTAACAACATTTAAGCCATATTTCTTAGATATTAATCTTATCTCAATGCAATGACTGTAAGGTAATAATAATGTAAGCAATAACTGTAGTGTATATTTAACATCCTTAGATTTGTTGGTACATGACCAAGATTTTCGTAAATAATAAACCAACTGGTCTAGCTTCTGTAAACACTATAGGACAATAGACAGGTAGAGGCATCCTCATGCAACTGTGAGTGCAAGTCGTCATCCTCACCTGTCCACATCTCCTTCCATGGGTGCTGTATCCGCACCCGGCAGCGCTTCTGGTAACACAGCACTCGATGGATGATCCCCAGACATCGCCTATATCATCATCATCATCATCATCATCATCATCAAGAAGAAATATTAATACACTTCTACCCACTCTACCTCTGCCGTCTTCTAACACACCTGGATCTTACATCCCGAAAGCTGGGAAACAACCATTTGACTCAACCATAGATGTGTGACAGGAAGACATTACTGAGTCATATCTATGTCTTTATGTCATATAAAGAAATCCAAGCAGTGACCTTAGCCATAGTTAAAAATATTGACAGGCCAAGCATCACAGACAATGGCTGTTGGGTCTGGAAGCTAAGGGAAGTAACTCTGCAGTGGGAGATCTACTTAGCAAAATGTCATCAGTTATCTTAATCAATGTAGATGTATTCAGTCACTTTATCACAACATGATTTTATTACAGCAAATCAAAAGCAAAAACTATATCTTCACATTCACATAGGTAGTAATGGTATGATGGAGATTGTGACAGGAAGTAAGCTCAACTCACAGGTACAGTTCCATGGGGAATGTTTTCATCATATGACTCATGACGAACTCCACCAATAAATCTGCAAAAACAACAACAAAACCATTAAACAGCTACCTGTTTCATCACCAGAGATGAACTCAACACAACATATACATCAAAAACAATTCATTATTAAACAATTAAACATTATTTTAGTGTACCTTTGTATGACATTTTCTCTTTGGCACGGAATTTATTGTGATGTGATGTATTATCAAACACAAGAAGGCAACACAAACAATCAAACACAAAATACAACTACAAGTGTGATATGGATCAAACACTGCTTGGAACTTTTAGTTCAGGAATGCCATGTTCAGTCATGTCTAAAGTGTGAGAGTTGGATGAAACTGAGAACGTGAGTATGGTGCTAATTCGCTGGTTTCACATTACTTTTCAACTCGATGTGCACTCCACTGGCATGTTTCCGGTTTGGTCGTATGTTTATAGATAGTGTAAACACTCCAAAGAAAACAAAAATCAAAACAAATATATAGTTTTATGTCGAATACAACTGATCCAAATTGATTTATGAAACAGACCCTGGGATTAGTTAAATAAATAGCTTTATTTATGTTAACAAGCTCTTGTATAAAGACTTCTCACCACCACTGTCATTCCCGCACATCCCCTTCTCACAAGTAAACAAACACATCTCTGATGGAATTGCAACCAAAATAGGACATCAATTATTGAAAAGCAGGGGCAAATGGAAGTATGTACTCAGCTATGAACAGTTGTCACAACGTAAATAATTTTCAAAACAGCTTTTATTTAGAGTGCATTTACACTATAGATAAACATACGACTAAACCGGAAACATGCCAGGAACATTTGCACAGCGAGTTCAAAAGTAGTGTGAAACCAACGAATAGATAAAGGACCCTTAATCCCCACCACCCAGATGAGGAGTAGACATCTGCTGTGGCTTATACTGATTAAACCACTGGGCTACCTTGCCGCCTGTAACACAATGACATCATCTTACCTAGTAAAGAGCACACCAAAGGTCGGAGAATCATCGTTCGGTCTGCCTTCACTTTCCGGTGCCGCATCGGCTACAGATACAGAGAAATAAAGTCATCAAATATCCAATGTCAGATATGACCATCCTTGACAAACATGGAGTAGCACTGGATCACATGAACTACCGACAGATGTAACTAATACACACAAAATAGAGGGATCACCACAACTGAGAGGAGTTGTTAGGTTCATTGTACGAGTGGGTGATTTCTTATGACACTTTCTGCAGTACTGTAGTAACAGCTAGAGATTCACACATCAGTGGAGAATCGAACATGAGCCTCTGTATAAAGATGTTTGCTTCTTGTTTAAAGCAGCACTCAGCATATATGACAACAGTCTGTATACAATCAAGTCTGGACCAGATATTCCAGTGACTAACATTATAAGAATCATTCTGTACAATTGAGATACGATGACGTATCAACCACAGGGGCTTGTAACGCTAAAAACTGCCATCAAGGTATGTAGTGTCACTAACGGGGTCTTATCACTATATAAAAGGAAAGGGATGTAACGAGGTCAACACACCAAGTTCGTTTCAGGGAGAATTCAACAATGATCACTGTATCTGTCCCATTTAAAGTATGCACACACTTCAAGCCAATAGATTTACCTACAAAATAAGACAAAGAGCACAAAAATCGAACCAGTACTTTGGGAGCTAGGGTCTTCGGAAGCTCGAAAAATCGTGATTTCTCGATTCCGAGCCAAAATCCCTAGCGGTAAAATTTCCCATTTTCTTGTTTATTTCACAGTATACACATATGACATTCACCAAAACATAATGAACTGATGGCGCCTGTCAGCGCTCTAGTCGCCATTCTTCCGGAGACATTTACATCTAACTGTCATAATGAGTTTACGTACATTTATTCATCGCAAACGGAATTGTGCCGTGCCCGTTCGCCATTGACGACCTTTGGCCTTAACCTGCCCCGCACTTAAAAGAGTAAGCGATTTGATGGGACATATTTTATTTTTAGCCAATGAGCTCCCTTGCTCTTTTAAGTGTGGGGCAGGTTATGGCCAAGGTCGTCAATGGCGAACTTGGTGTGTTGACCTCGTTACATCCCTTTCCTTTTATATAGTGATGGTAGTTTTTAGCGTTACAAGCCTCTGTGGTATCAACCAAATATGCAGGCCTGACCACCCAAACCTGTAGGTCAACTCTTACTTCAAGCATGGGTTGCTGAATACCAGTTCTAAGCCAGATGTTTCACTGGGGGCTGAATACTCACCAGTCTGTGTAGAGGCACTCGGAAGGTCATGTTGACATCATGCATGAGGGAGTTGGCATACTGATCCTGTAATGTGTATTATTACTAGGTAAAACTAACAGGTAAAAGGTATACCTTCCACTATATCTAGAACATTTACGCCAGAAACAAAATACTGAACAGCTCATAAATTCGAAAGAAAAAGTCTAATAATCCCACAGGGTTATATACGACTGAGAAATGTGGTTCCAGTATGCACAAATGTATAGCATGGAAGCCAAAAAATATGCATTGCATCCCAAAGGATTCGCAAATACATCCATTGAGTCAAATTCTTGACACTGAATATAAAGTTTCTGTAACTAAAATAATCATCAAATCTGACTGTTTAATACATTAGACCATTATATGGCAGGAACTTCATAAGAATCATATCTTTCAAACGACCATTGAAATTAGTACCGGTAAGTGAGGTCCTCCTGGCCTGACGTTTTGTAGGTCCAGGTAAAACTATGATCCTCATAATGAAACAGTTTAAAATGCTTAAGAAATACTTCTGTCTCAAAGCAAACATTACAGAGAGTACCCACCTCAGCTATACATGTGAGTATGACTATGCAGAGTTTGGCGTTGTTGTACCGAGCTGTATCTAACAACAGAGAGTTCAGAAACATCACGGACAAGTGACAATCAACACATATCATAGTGTTCATACACATCACAGAAAAACAACATTAAAATCCTAAATTTGTTCTACTCAATATTTTCACCAAGCCATAAAACAGAGATTTATCATTAATTCCTTAGACCTAACATGGTGTGAGTAAATAGGCTTTATGATATTATATTAGTAGCAATATTTAAATTATTCAAAAATGCAATTGTGTGCCATCTGCAAAAAATACATCCATGCATGGATAATTGGGAGGCTGTCTGTCCGATTGTTATTGTATGTATGTGTTAATCTATCTGCTGACTGTCTGTCCACCTGTGTCAACTATCACTGTGTGTCGCCTATCTATCTGTCTGCTTGAGCGTGTCCATCATTGTATGTCAGTCTGTATGTTTGTGTCTGCCCCTGTCTGTTTCTCTGTCTGTGAGTGTCTGCTGGCTGTTAGCTTGTCTGTCTCATTTCCCGTCTGTATGTATGTCAATTTGTCTGGAGTAGTCTAATCTATGTGCAAAATATGCTATATGTCAGAGAGCACACGAACAATCTCCAAATCATCATCATCATGTGTCTGCTGTCTATATCTGTCTGCATTTGTCTCTCTGCTCTGTCTGTTTCTGCTGTCTGCCTGAATGAGTACATCTGTTTGTCTGTGTGTTCTGTCCAAATGCTTGAATTGGTCTTAGTGACTGGGTCTGTCTGCCCGCCTTTGTATGTCTGTATGTCCTTTTTGTGTTTTCTGTTTGCCATTTACCCTTGGTGTCCTGGAAGATGATTGAGCTGTATTCCAGGAAGGTGACCAGGAGATTGGTCGGCTGTGTTGCTGTGGCCACTTCATTCACATTCTCGGGCTGACCACCTGTATGTGATGTACAGTGTTACTAAACTGAGAACAGACACTAAGATAGTTGTGAAACAAGCCAAATCATGTGAGCAAGGCTAATACCACTGACCTTGATTCCCAACTTCAGCTGAATAACAATTACTAATGATTATTCTTGACAAAAATACATCTGTATCAACCATTGCACTGCACCTTTCCTACAGTGAGTGAGTGAGTTTTAATTTTACGCCTCCTTTAGCAATATTCCAGCAATATCACGGCAGGGGACACAAGAAATGGGCTTCACACATTGTACCCATGTGGGGAATCAAACAAGGGTCCTCGGCATGACGAGCAAACGCTTTAACCACTAGGCTACCCCACCACCCCACACCTTTCCTAAAAACAAACAAATATGGTATAATAACTATATACACCCAAACCTTAGATTGGGGTATAATAATCTTCAGCAAAATGGAAGCACTACAAATATGAAATTTTTAGAGTAAAATTAATATTTTTATACTTATCCTGACTCATGTTTATTTGCTTGTCTTCTTCTTCTGGCGAACCTAGTGGAACACTTGTATCTCCCAATTGAAGCTCCCTTCAATAAAAAATCACTCATTAGTACTCACCCCGAGTTATCTCCCTTTCCGCGGGAAGGAGGGCGCCACCCAAGCCCATGTGCCTCACTCTCTCCTTTTTTGTTTTGAGCCCAACACTTTATTTTTCCCGAGAAATCCAAAGTGTTAAGTGGGGAGGACGGGAGGGTTTACCTCATGAGTCAGGATAAGTATAAAAATATTAATTTTACTCTAAAAATTTCATATTTTTTCTTATCCTGACTCATGTTTATTTGCTTGTAGAATCCTACGGAATAGGAGGTGGGATTATATATACTTTGGATTTTACTAATTAGTGATTTGAACTGAGATGATTGTAATAACCCTAAGGGAACTTCATGAAGGCACTGAACTGAATTCCTGCTGTTAATTTAACAGCTGCCTTTAAATAGGTTATTACAATTTACTGAATATAATAAAAGTATATAGAACATTAATTAAGCTAAAGCCATTAATGTGGTAGTATAAACTGTTGATAGTTTATAATGAATACTTTTATAAGAACCAAAGTAGTAAACACAATATGCATATATATAAGCTATAACATAACTGTGCCTAAGGTATAATGATAACTTAAGCTGTATAATAGTAACCAACTACTGAGAGTTTGTTAACTAATACATGTTATGAAATGAACATATGATAGAGCTTAAGGAATAACTTAAGCTGAACATATATATAATAGTAGAACTCGTAAGAGTTGTAAGTATATATATATTATGATATAGAATCATAGTACTGAGCTTAAGATAATATTTTAACTTAAGCAAATATATATATAGATAGCATAAAGCTATTAGTACTGTTATCAGATAAGTATAAAATCAGCAAGATAGACTTATCTTCTCCGTTGAACTGTCAACTGTTGAGCGAGGACCATGGGACCGAAATGGTGGATACCTGAGACGTCCTTGGTGGTGATATCTCTCAGATAATGGTTTGCAAACACCATCTCGGACCTCCAAAAACATCCCTCCATAATGGTATTCAAAGAACAATTTCCATGTAAAGCCAAAGTTGAAGCTAGTGCTCTAATTTCGTGAGGATTAGTAGCACTTGGAGGGTCCAGTCCAGCTGCCTTGTAGGCTCATAGTATGACAGTTCTGATCCAAATAGAAATGGTAGTGCGCGACACTTCTGTCTGTGAGGCGGTAGATATAGGGATAAACAATCTTTTGAATTTCCCTCTACTTTGCTTGGATCTTTGGAGATATATTTTCAGTGCACGCATACAAGGCAAAGTGATAAGTCCATCGTATCCTCTTGGTCCAAGTATGGATGAGAGCTGGGACATGGAACAACCTGTCTGGTTGACCTGGTAGTTGATTTTTAAGCTATAAAATCCCAGCGAAGTCCCAGATGAGCGATGTTATGAATATCATCAAATCGTGTTCTCGTAATCCAAAGCGTGAATTTCAGACATCCTGGCGGCAGTGGCTAACGCTAGCAGGAATAAGGTTTTGTGGGTCAATGATTCATATGGCGCAGATAACAATGGCTCGTAAGCCTCACTTGTGAGGTGTTGAAGTACCACATTTAGATCCCAGGCTGGCTTGAAACTTCCGTTTCTGGTCTTCCAATCGAAAGGCACGTAACAAAGGCGAGTAACTCCGGTGTTTTAGTCAATTTGGCCCGTTCTCATTGTTATGACTGAACTTATGGCTGCAAGATAAGTGGACAGTGTAGATCCTTTTAGATTCTTAGTTTGGCGTAGGAAACATAAGAAATCTGCCACTTGAGGATGTGTAGCAAATCTGGCTGAAAATCCTTTCTTAGCAGCATAATTGACAAATCTGAGCCATTTGTCATCGTTACAAGTTCGAGTACAGTTACGTGAGTGCAAGCGTGACAGCCTTAGCACGCTCTGGTGGAATAACCTCTCTTATTCAAATATGCCTTGATACAATCCACCGTGAAGTCGGAATGCTTCTGGTGTTTTGTGCACTTGTTTGGTGTCGCGGATGTATCAGTAGATTGGGCGTAGTGGGAGCTGAAGTACTGGTTTTCCGATTCCTAGTATGAGGTCTGGAAACCACGTTCTCGCTGGCCAGTAAAGGCGAGACCAAAATCAGATCGAGGCTCTTCGTTTGACTGATTTTAGCAAGACTTGTGGGATTAACGCAGGAGGGGGAAAGCGTCACGCGTTTAGTCCCTCCCATGATATGCTTAGTGCGTCCGTTGCCCAAGCTAATGGATCTGGCACTGGCGTCTGAAAGGTTGTCAGTTGATTGTTGAATCGGGTGGCAAATAGGTCTATCAGAGGAGATCCTATTTCCATGATTATCTGATTGAATATCTCTGTGTGGAGCATCCATTCTGTCGTGACAGTTGGTGCGGCCGAGAGAGCGTCTGCTAACACATTCTTTGCTCCAGGAATGTGGCAGGCTTTGATACGTATGTTTAGACTGTCGACTAAATCGAACAGTTTGAAACATCGAGTGAGAAGATTCAGTGATGTTGTTGACCCTTGTTTGTTCACATAAAAGACGCCACTGTTGAGTTGTCTGTGTGAATCATTAACTGAGCGTTCTGTAATAGGTTGCTCCAGTGACCTATGGCGTTTATGACTGCTTGCATCTCTAGCAGATTTATGTGACATAAGCTCTCTTGAATGCTCCATAGGCCTGACGCTGTCCTGCCGGTAAGGTGGGCTCCCCAACCTTGTAGTGACGCGTCCACGTAGAGATGTGTTTTCGATTCCGGCTCTTCTAAGGAGACGCCTGAGCAAACATTCAATCTCTTGGTCCACCAGAGTAGATGTGGTTTGATGTAATCTGGTAGACTGAACGGTAGAGGGTCCTCGAGATGGGCATTGATGAGGACTTGTAATGGACGTAATTGAAGCCTGCCTCTGAGTGTCAAGTCTTGAGCTGATGTGAGTAGTCCCAGTAGACTCTGCCACTGACGTAGTGGTAACGGAGAGAGTAGGGCTTGGGGGATCAGTTGTTGTATCTTGATCCATCTGTCCTCCGGGACCACCATACGATTCTGCGCTGTAAGGAATCGTATACCTAGAAACTGCAGATCCTGCGTGGGCTCTAGGTCCGACTTGAGTAGATTTACTAACCAGCCTAACTGCGTTAGTAGCTTGATTGTAAAGTTCAGCTGTAGTCTGAGACGCTGTGGATCTGGATCCACCTGTATACCGTCGTCTAGGTAAAATGCATTCCGCAGGCCTTGACGATGTAGGTATGAGACAATAGGCTTGGTTACTCTTGTGAATATCCATGGGGCCGAAGTGATTCTGAAGGGAAGTACTTTCCATTGGTAGTGTATGCCGTCTAGCATGAATCTCAGATATTTCCTTGAACTGGGATGAATGCGAAACGCTGGTGGTTTGCATAGAAATTCTCTGTTGAATGTGCTCATGTTGTAAATGAGACGATACTTCTGTTTTGTGCTGAAAGATGGTCTGTAAGGAATTGTTGATCTTTTTTCTGCATAAGTAGAGCTGAATAGATCATCCTGTCTTCCTCATCCGTGGAGTTCTTGAACTTGGTGATGAGAGTTTCGTTAATAGTCCTAGATCTATTAAGTCCAAAGAACATCCTTCTGGAAATGGTATCTAACTGGGCCATCTTGCGATCGTCTACCCTATAACTTCTGGACTTGGAATCACTGATAAGTTTAAAGTTTTCATCAATCTCCTGAGTCTTGAAAAAGGGCTCCATATTATGTCCATAAAAACTCTTGGCATTGAAGAACGGTAAATGGGTAAGTTGAGTTTTAGCAGATTTGGAGTAGGCTGTATCCAGTTTAGCAGGAACGGCTGCGATAGGATCCATAGGAGGCACGGTGATATGATCTACATCAGTGGCTATCACCGTGCCTCCTATGGATCCTATCGCAGCCGTTCCTGCTAAACTGGATACAGCCTACTCCAAATCTGCTAAAACTCAACTTACCCATTTACCGTTCTTCAATGCCAAGAGTTTTTAATAAACTTAAGCTACATATATAATAGCAAAAACTCTGTAGAGTTTGTTAGCTAATACATTATAATGTAACCATAGAACTGAGCTTAAGATATGATTAACTTAAGCTAAATATATAATAACAAACTGCATAGAGTTGTTAGCTTATATATAGTATGATATAAACACCATAGTACTGAGCTTAAGATAATAAATTAAACTTAAGCAAAATATATAGATAGCATGTATCTATTAGTACTGTTATCCGATAAGTATAAAATCTGTAAGATAGACTTATCTTCTCCGTGGAACTGTCAACTGTTGAGCGAGGACCATGGGACCGAAATGGTGGATACCTGAGACGTCCTCGGTGGTAATATCTCTCAGATAGAGGTTGGCAAACACCATATCGGATCTCCAGAAACATCCCTCCATTATGGTATTCAACGAGTAACTCCCATGTAGAGCGAGAGTTGAGGCTAGCGCTCTAATTTCA